CATTTTTCTTTCTCACAAACAAGCATAATATAATATTTGCGTCTGAATCATTCGATTCGAGTTCTAAAGAAAATTGGTTTTATTACGATGTACCTAATAATAATAATAATAATAATAATAATAATAATAATAATAATAATAATAATAATAATAATAATATATAATTTAGGTAATACGCATTTTACACCGTTATCCTTTTTGTTGAGTTTCTTCGAAAATTATTTATTTTTTGCATTACACAAAATAAAGCTTATATTAATATACGGTAATATTATGGCCAGCAAAGAAAGCCGATATTACGAGAAACAGTCAAGTATTAAAGGTTGTTTTTACTATTTTACTAATGCATTTTTTACACAACAGAATTTAATATTTTGAACTTATTATTAAAAGTAGGTACCTTTTTTTTTAATAACGACGCGAGTTCTATATTTCTATACTCATAATTATTTAATAATATACCTAGTGAAATCAAACCTGAGTTATTACGTTTAGCCATTTGAATTCTCACGAAAAGTACCAAAGGGTGGTAAATTGTTTTCGAACTCTGGTGAAAAAGATAATAATACCGTGCACAAAAATCCTGTTTTAATTGACTTATCAAAAACTTCTTCGACGACGAAAAAAGTTTAAAGTTTGAACTTTTGCCAACCATGGTCGCGACTACTGTTCACAAAACATGGTACTGCAGTTATATGGTAAAATGTTTGATCACATTCTATATCCAGCCAACAAAACAAAAGTTTTGTGTTCCCTATACAACATAATGTACACAAGTCAATTATTCCGTTATCAAACCAAATCAATATACAAAAAAACCTAAATCATTATCCAATTATTATTATTATCAAAGTTAATTTACCGGAAAGTTTTCTTCAAATGCATATCGATATCATATATAGTATATTTCCATATAGGTACTTACACTCAATTTTCAATATGTTGATCGGTAATATTATAATAATATATACTCTCTAACTATAAACACTTGAGAACTAAATTAAATTGCCTGTACAGACGCATGTTACTATATTGGTGGTTTAGCAGTGAACTTTATAATAACATAATATTATACTTACTGAATGCCGTAATTTCCAATGAGAACGAGAAGAAAGCATTCCCTCTATCCACCTTAAATTAATCCTCAGCCCAAACCCTACCGATGCAATCAACCTATTCAAAAAGGTATATCAAAATATCCAATATATACCGTACAATATTATAAAATACTTATATGTGATATATTTATCTTTATTTTAAGCCATCACTTGTATCCGATATCTCCAATGGCCGTTGTTTCAGTTTATATACTTTGTAATAATAAAAAAACAATACACAAAACTTTGTAATTATATGTTGAATTACGTAAATAATAGTATGAAATACTTTGATTTAAGTTTAATTCCAATACAAATTTAAAACGACGGACAGACCTAATTAAAGTGACCTATTTTAATTTTATTCCATAGAGCTGAAATACGATCAAGCTGAAATAAATTTAGCATGTAAGTTATATATAATAAAAAAAATGATGTCCAACGTCGGTTTTGATTCTTAGTAGAATGTGATTTCGAAAACTGATTCTATCGACTATGATATTAATATTATCAAAAACGTGGCATACATATTATTATCGACCTTTGTAGTGGTGGTAGATAGCAGTACGACGTATATGAGTATAAATTTATCTCTTAAGTAATTTCTTTGCATTTCTCTCGAACGCTTTAAATAATATTCCTAAGAGTTTCTCGGCATAAGTACGAAAACGGTTCGCCGATGTATAATAGAGTGGTGTACGATCATTATTACTATTACGTATATGCATTTAAACCATGAACGTAGCAGGCTATACCAAAATAATATGCATAGTAATTATCGTTTAATGTACCAATATTATACCTATATAGGTACGCGTACTATATAATTTTTACTTAAGGACTAAATTACATAAAGTAAGATTGTAATGGGTTAATTTAATAAATCCGTAAATCCACGCGAAGCTTAATAACGCGTATTACATATAGGTAGCCATAATATAGGTAATTGCGTATGGTTTTCAATTAATATTCAGACTAATAATAGTTTATCCGTGTGCTGCAGTAGATCAAATCCAAAGCATACCAGGTATACGATATAATATTATACTATACGAGTTGATCCATTTAAGTGTCTAAACATTTCTTAGTTTCAAATAATCTTTAACTTTCTTATAAATATTATTTCTCGATGATTTAATGAATTTTCATTGCCACAACATGTAAAAAAACAATAAAAATATGTAAACACCGGTATATCGGGACACACGATTAGCACTTATAGCAGTGTGTCACCACGAACAATTTCATTATTTAAGTTTGTCGCCATTTATTTAGATTTAAGTTGGGGTGTCGTCGTGAATTATGATATAATATCGAGAACCACTGATGTCTGAATACACAAAAAATAAATACTCTGCTTCATTATAATAATATAAAAATAACGATAGTCTACACCCTTAAGGCTTAAATGTATCACCTCATCGTATATTATATATTATTATTTTATTTCGTTTAATTGGATTTCAAACTTTTTGAAAACTGACTTTGAATAATTAATAAATGATATAATATTGTTATACTATTCATAATAATATTTATCTCGATCGATTCGTCTGATTTGCGTTTCATCTCGCAGTGCCTTTCGACCGACCGTTTAACACTATTATCAGATCCTTTGTGAATTTTCAACGTATTGTTTTCGGGTGTGGTTTTTGCAAACGTATTTTTACGGTGCCGTTGAACTTAAAGAACAATGGCCTTACACGTGGAAGTAAAAGTTTCATCTACACAAACACTGTAGTTAGGTATCTACCACCGGTGGTTAATCTTTTGCCAACACCGCTTTTATACAGTTCCAAAACAATTCAACAATGTCATATGTTTGCAGTGGACTTTCGAACTTTTTACGACAGCTTCGTTTTATAATAATCTCGTGCTGAGGCCTGTTTCCATATTTTTTTACATTTCGGACGTCGTAATTTTTCGTTTACGGTTACGTCGGGCTTGCGTAACCGCACGATGGGGTTTTCGCCCGCTTTGGGGTTTTCGCCCCCATTTTTTATGGATCCCCGTGTTTTAAAACGTTCGTAAATTTAAATAAATTTAATGGTTTCACGATGTACGAGCATACACTATATTATTATAAGAGAGTAGGGCTGGTGTATCCATTTTACGATTATATTTTTAAGTGTCCAATTACATAAAACGTTTATTTTTATTTTTTAATATAATAATATTATATCCTCCTTCATACTTTTATGTGTACCTCTTAATATAGTAGTGAAAAAATTATATACTTACGTCACCAGCGTGCTAATGTGTGTTGAATAACGTGGTTTTATTAGTGTTTTATAGCGGCATTCAATGTTTTTGATATACTAACAGACCAAAAAATACTTTTTTTTTTGTTTTGTACCGAAAATATCACGTGCGTCGTAAATAAAATATAAATAAAATAAAAAGTCGCCGCCAAAAAACATTCTTTTTTTGGCGGCGACGATTTCACAAAAGACTTTTTCTGTAACACCACGTTTAACTAATAATTTTTTACGACTGCTGCAGCGAAGAACATGTACCAACATGTTACCGTTACCATAGCTGGTACCACAAAGTGAACATTTTTCTTCAAAATTGAAACTACCGTGTTTACTGATTCGTAATCACAGATATAGGTTGAAAATTCTAAATATTATGTGGTTGAAAATGGTTACGGATCGGTTACTCACCCCTAGAAAAAATTTTAAATTTCAAAGTAATTTTTTTGTACGAGCTAGTGCTGGCGTAACTTTACAGTAAGAATGGATTAGGTTACGAATTCCAAATCTTTGGTTACGAATCGGTTTGTTCTAAACCATTAGTAGGTATCTATTCGTATTGAAGAAAACTATGAACTTTGTGGTGCCAGGGTATCGCACCTGTGACAAACGAAAATATTATATTATTCGCTTAATGCGCCCGTTTGCAATCGATTTTTTGTCGTTCTCTGCGACCTCTCGCTTTTTATTCAATATCATTATTATATTTTTCTCACATGTGTTCGTTTTATCGTCGCGCGGGAACCTGTGCACATGGATCGTCTGCAGCGACGGTGTTTAATACGGTGTAATAACAAGCACGTGCCGCGGCGACGATAGAGACCGAAAATCCTTTTAGGAGACGTCGTTATTAATCCGGCGTAGGCGCATATACGGGAAACCTTAATGCGCCGCAGGGTGACTTACGCACGTAGTAAATAATGACAGACGTTCGAAAACCGACGGAGCTTATCGGGCACACGTTAAAGTATACGGCCGAGTGAGTCCTCCATAATATGCAATATGACGTACGAGTCCTTCTCCTTTTACGCTGTCAATCCATATAATCTCTTACTTTCTTGTCTCTCTCTCTCTCTCTCTCTCTCTCTCTCTCTATCTCACGTCATCTCTCTCTACTCGCTGTGTCTCTATGTCTCTCAGTTGTACCTCCGTATCCGCGGTGCTGTATTAGGTATATCCGAATATACAACGTAATAAATACATTTTACTCACCGGCGAAAAACTAAAGCCATTTTTTTTTTTAAAATATACAAAAACAACTTGCCGTGAGATAAAGTGTTAGGTACGCAGGATAATGATATTACGAAAGATGGAGATAAATCAATGAATATTAATAAACAGTAGATCATTCTGGTAAATGGTTTGAAAAAAGTGTTCATATGCCTATTAAGAATAGCTTTTAAATAAGTAAACACTCGAAAACTTTATAATCTATATTATCGAGATTAATAATATTTATCATTAAACGTATAAATAATAATGTTTGATTTTAAACGGAGTAGGAAAAAGTACAATATTTGTATTCCTGATATTATTATAGTCATATTTAACTTTGACGTCTGGCTTGCTTGACACTAATGTGACTACAATAGTCCACCACATTGTCATACAAAATAGTGTTTATAACGATTTGTTTGCTTCATTTCAGGGATCGGAGTGGGCATGACCAGGGATTGTTCCACGCTGATGGTGGCGCAGTATTTTAAGCGGAAACGTGAGTTCGTCGAGATATTCATCGTGTCCGGCAGCGGGATGGGCATAGCCGTTATGTCGAGCTTCATCAAAGGAGCCATAAGGTATGTGATGATAATGTCCATGAAAATGTTATATAAAATTCAATATCCATACCATTTTTTTGTTGGTTTTTTTCCATGTTCGTATAATATATTTATACGTATGATATTAGTACTCACCAAACCCCAATAACGATATCGTATACGCGATGGACGGAGACAGACGGGCCCGCGAATTTATAGGTGGCGGGCGCCCGGAGGGATCGATTTCCACGCGTGGCGACCAATGTTTAGCGCTTTTTTATGTGAAAATTCAATGAAAGCCAAGTTCGGTTATTAGATTTTTCCTCATATATTATTATAGTTAAATATATATTTAACATGATGATAACACGAAATCCAACCATATGATTTATTGGCAGCCTGTAAATTAATTTCGAGACGATTTAGGAACATATTTTCCTAGTGAAACTGTAGACGTCCGTCCAGAAATGAATAGTTTCAAGCCACTATAAAACATTCAATATTATATTGTTTCATTTAAAACTACACAAAATATTACGATGTGATGCGTATTAGAATGCTTATGATCACAATAGTTTTAGAATGTATCAAACTATAACACGCTGTATAAATCACCAATGTGTATAATGATTCATAATTATTAAAAATATCTCAATAGATTTAATAAACTCAGCATAATTTATACCAAGCACGGAAGAATAACACAAAACAATACACTTGTTAAGAGTTCGAATTTTGTTTTCGACAAAAAAGTTCCAATAATAAAAATTAGCAAGTGAAAAGTGATCGACATGCGATCGCAAAAATGCTTTTCTACTTTTATAAAAATTAATTACCTATAAGATTTACATAACATATCACAATAGTCGAACAATTAAATATTATAATAAATTATTAAATAATATTTTTTTTTTTTACATCAAGTATAAACTTCCATCTCAGCGAAACCTAATGGGAAAATACATTTTTCAAAAACCATAGTTTATGTAACTCTATTTTAATATGGCGGGTATCGGACACGTATCTTTAGTCCCCTCTTCGGCTGTCATGTAGAATTTGAAATTGGCCTTTCGAACTCAAAACCTTTCACTATGATATCTTCATTGAAAATAATATATTTATAACATCCCTATAAGGAGATAACGACGGGCAAACAATATTATTTAAAAAGTGCTGATACGGGAGTTTGGTGTTTTATTTACACTCAAAAGCCGTGATAAATCACGAAAAACGATTCTGAGCGGAGCCAAGCCAAAAATGGTCAAGATTTATGTAAAACCACACTTGCTTAAGTTCTTTCACCGTTATTTTGTGGTTTTCCACGAGCTTCTCTCGGGATATTTTTATTCCCGCCTTATACGGATAAAAAAAATCACGAAAGCACAAATCATTGTAAAATCAATACCTCCGATATCAATGTTAAAAGTAGGTAACTATTTAGGGATTATATAGGTACTGGATATTCGACATTTTCCGGTTTTTATGACTTCATTCAACTCGGTAAGGAAAATGTTGTGTGAATATTTTTTTTAATCCTAGTGCCTCAATATTATCGCATTTAAAAATTAAACTGATACATTTTGGGTTACACGTTTAAACTATATGATCATTAATGATGTCCAACAACTTTTTACGATATGATGGTGTTTTCATATATCTATGGACAATTTCCAATTCATATTTAATTATTTTACGGATTTTTTGGTTAGTTAAAGAAGTGTACCACGTTAAAACACTTAAACACCTCTCTGGAAAATACCACTATTAATTATACAAAAAGTGAGCACTTAAGTTTAATATTATAAATTAAATAGGTATTAATAAAACAAAAGCTGTTCTATAATCGGTCTAAATAAATTACGGTCTTCCAAATTTGTTCTTAACTAAACTCTAACAATAAAACATACGATATTATATATTATACATAATAAAAAAAATCACTGTTTTTATGTATAGTTAAATAAAAATATATTACCGATATTTTCGATGAACAGATTTAGTAGTCTGGTATGAACAAAATCAGTGTGTGAAAATTTAACGATAATAAATAAAAAATGTAGTTCAAGAAGGTATATCTATAAAATAACTACCTATAAATTAAAATCTGGTTATTTTGAAAAAATTGATAAACTTATCATTATTACTGTTTATAATATTGTAGCTATGCACTTCTTGACTTATATTATGTATAATTTTTTTTTTTTTTTTTTTTTTTTTTTTTATTGGATAACCCGCGGCAACATAGGCCATTGGGTGTTAGTGGTTTATTTTTGTGTGTTGTTATTACGGTAGGGGGAGGAACACGTGTGTGTTGGGTTTTTGGCAGAATTTTGAATGGGGCACCCGTAGGTTTCTGCCATGCCCCGGAGTGGGTGATGGCGGCACTTGTTCTCCGGACACCGTGACTTGCCCGGAGAAAAATACCGCACAGTGGTCGAGAGGATCGAACCCGCGACCGCCAGCGCCGCAGACGACGTGTCCGACCGCTCGGCCACCTCGTCCCCCTTATGTATAATTATTGATGATGTTTTTATTAACTATGGCTATTACATATTATAATTATTACAATATCCGTGTAATAATCACCCGTATAAATGTACAAGTTTTTATTACAATTATTATTATAAGCTGTATTTTAGAGCAAGTATTAAAACAATCAATATTTTTAATAAAAAGATTGCTTACCGAGGGAAAGCTGCAGTTTCATATCTTATACTATATATGATGGATACTTCAAAATTTCGCAAAACAAGCTGAACAAAAACCTTCGGGAATTTAAATTGAAAAATTAAAATCCGTTCTACATGCGATCACAACGACGGTCTGGCTCGAGTCGGTCCTTTAAAATCCATTATTTTTCAACGACTCCGGTTGTCGTGATAATAATTTATCGACGTGTCCCCCGCGGTTGTCTCGTTCATTAATATCATCGTGACGATTTCACTGTATAATATTACAAGACATACCCATCGGGTAATACAAATGACGATACTTTGGTTTTTCGTTACCTATATTTCTATGTATAGATTTAAAATGCTCGGTGGCACCTGAAAACAACACTCTACGTTGACAATTTTTTTTTTTACATATTATACATACTAAAACACAAGTTTTCCTTACTATTATAAAATTAAATTACAAAATATTTTTTTTCGTTCCACCCCAATACTTACTTAATAATTCGATTGCGTTGCAGCGCCATCGGCTGGCGACTCGGACTCCAGCTGGTCACCGCCACGGTGTTCACCACGTTCCTGTTAGGCACGTGCTACAGGTCGGCGTCGCTGTACCACCCGCAGAGACGGGCCATCCTGCACCTGAAGAACCAGAAGCGGAAGATCAAGGACAAGAACCGGCACGACGACCGGCCGCCGTTCCTCGACTTCACCACCCTCCGCAGCAAGACCGTCCGAATCCTGCTCGTGTCCACCGGCATCAGCGCGTTCGGCATAAACACTCCGATATTCTACCTGGTCAGTGTCTTGCATTATAGTTGGGTACATGCCGATTGGTTACCGCTCGTTGTCGTGCGGTAATCGTGGTTCGGGATTTATCACATTATAATATATTATGTGTTATAAGTCTATCGACACGTATATTATTATTATGAAATATAAATTATTATACTCGTACATTATTTTGTATACCAAGACAATATAACTTGTTGCTAAAGTATGAACAAAACGTTGAAATCCTTATTAATGAACGCCAAAATTATGTTCTCATTAAAACTTTACACTTAAATTATTTGTACGGCCGCATACACTTTAAAACCTGCTTGTTGTCTGTTATACTAACCTATGTTTTACTACGGCCAATGTGCAATCACTATAAACTCTGAAAGCTGAACACAAAATAGCCACCGCTAGACACATAACTATACCGTGTATATGGTTATGGTACCACTTACGTTGTGGTGTACCGTGTCGTCGTATGTGCGAATGACGTTATCGCTCTTATACGCGGCCGGCGAATCGGAGGCGGTAAGACTACTGAGGGAGAAAGGAATACAGATCAATATATTTCCGGAGTTGATAAACTTTTGCCAAACACGCCGAATGCGATCGGAATAAAATTTAATTTTTCAACGTTACGCTTTTCGATTGTCATCATATTTCATATTGGTTACACTTTGGAGTTTTATTTTTGGAACGACTATACACACACACACATAAACCCACACATCCCACTACGGCGCTGCTAACAAAACATTAAATAACGACAACTCGACTGTGATGGCGGTTATCAATTTCATGCATGCATTCCGTATTATGGCAGAGCGGTGCGGTAGTCGGGTTTTTCTTATACGTTTTGTCTCTCCACTTGTTTATTCGAGTATTATATATTTTTCATACATGACACGTGATGTGTGTTCAAAACGTTCAAATTGAATTCTCGACATCCTATAATTGTTGTCACATTTCGTTTCGTCTCGAAATACGTACCACAGCAATCTTAACTGTTGAAGTAGGATTAGGTACTGCATTTCGACCATATTTTTAAATTTTTTCTTTTTTTTGTACGTCAATAACGAGTATAAATTAATTTAAATATTATATCGATCCCATCGTTCGGTCACACAAAAAAATTCATGTAATCCAATAAACCTACTGAAACAAACAAACAGTTTTTTACTATCGATTCTTATGAAGTGCTGTAAAACTATAGCGTTTAATCGCGAATAAAAAATGATTTTAATAATTATATGATGGATATGGAAAAAATCTTATTGTACATATGTCATAGTTATCATATTCTTAGCATGTCCGTGGGCCTAGTGATGAAAAATTAAAATAGGGTATAAAATATGTAAAATAAAAAGTTTAGACGGCTCTAACGTTGGCGAAGTGTCCAATATAGTAAAATTTAAATTAAGTAACGGGCCTGAAACCACGAGGCCCAAGTAGATTATTTTTGGCTGGGGGAGTCGAATAAAGTACTAAAATAGTTCGAAATACTGTCTGCAAGTACTACGAAATTAACCGAAATGAGAACAAATTATACCAGTGAGACGAGCACTTAAAAACAATAGAAGTTTTAGATTTAGGCTCAATCAAGTGATAAAAACAAGATAAAAGTAAAGTTTTCCATCGCGCCGTCGCCATACGACTGGACACGATTTATGCGCACTCATTCGTCAGCCCAATAAAAAAAAGGATTAGTCGTACAGTTGTTTTATGGGCTTTTACAACGCCAAAGCTATTTGTTCGGTTTACGACTGCGGATTTCAAACGCATAAAATAATTTTTGATTGCGAAATACCCGGAGTGCAACGAGTTCATAATATACACACACGTTACATGTTATATTGTATACATGTTATATAAACGTGGACATGTAGCTACAGCAGATATCGTTAAAATTATAAACGCCCCCCTCCTCTCCTTCCTGTATCCCACATCGCAACTCTAATGGGGTGGGAAAGGACGTTTTAATTGTATCTCGGAGGCGTACCTTTGATTGCGGATAGGACGACAACGACGACGACGACGATGAATGCGATTAACTTAACATTAATTTTATTATTTTGAGAAAATGATGTATTACTATATTATTAAACGGGACCAATGAATTCCTGCGGCGAAAAACATTAACCCCGAGACCGCATAGAGTACTATAATATACAATAATGTGTGTGTGTGCGTACAGTAGTAGTAGTATATATTATATATTATGTCCTAGTTGTAGTAGCGAAGCAATATAAACGACCGGAGCGTAGTAGTAAAGCACTCGACCGAGTGTAGAGTCGTGTGCATATAATAATATAATGTATACGTGTATAAAGGATAAACATGATATAAATCTCGTAAAGTATTTCGCGATCGTTTCGTTTTTAATGGACTCCGGAAAATATATTATTATGTATCGTCGTATGTGTCCCGTCGTTTAATACGTTTCCACGTTACTTGCATTGTACTCGTAATTATACAATTTATAATATAATATATAGTTCATATTAATATTACTGCGCCCGCGAGGAGAGCAATAGCTCGTCTGGAGCTCGCGGGCTGCACCGCCCCTCGACCAAAGCCCAAGGACTCCGATATAGTTTCTCCGATCAAGCTTCTATAAATATATTTAGCATACACACATAAAAACTTCATTACTTATATAAATAAAGCGATGTGTGTGTGTGTGTGTGTGTGTGTGTGTGCAGGTAGGTCATAATAGTATATAGTTATAGTTGAGTATTGATTTAAAACAGTTCCGAGATCAGTTCAACGGTACCCTATATAGAAACGAAACGTTTTCAACTATAACGAAAGTTGACTGTTGCGGAACACGGACCACCCAAACATGTTATAGGTGCCATTTGGCGTAGGTACTTAACGAATGCTACAAATGTTTTTTTTTTTGGCAACAACAACGATATAAAAAAAAATTCGATAAAATACGATGGATATATCCATATAAGGATATTATATAATATAGGGGACGGGGTTGTTCGTTCCGGGTTCACGCATGCGCCCGATATCGTCGCTCAAGACACGTACGTTTAGGTGGCGCAGTACGTGCTTGAAATACGAGTATAATGTGCCTACACTACGAAAAACGAAAAACTTAGAGACCAGCATTTATGATATTAAAGGCCCGAAAATATTATTTGTATATTGATTTCGACCGATTTTTCAGGCTCACCAGGCCGAAGAGGACGGACTCGGCGACTCGGCGCTGACGTTGCAAGTGCACATGGGACTCGCGTGGACGGTGGGTTGCGTGGCGTTCGGGTTGATCGTAGTCCGGAACTCGGTGGAGTGTCGGATCGCCAGGCAGTACCTGTGCCAAGCGTCGGTGTTCATGTGCGGCGTGTCCATACTGGCGCTGACCACGGTCCGCGGTGACCGGCAGGGGTACGTCATGTTCGCCTGGGTGTACGGCATGTTCTGCGGCGGGTACCATTACTCGCTCAAGATGTACACGTACGAGAGGGTCCGGGCCCGGAACTTTGCCCGCACGTGGGGCTTCGTCCAGTGCTCGCAGGCCATACCCATCGCCCTAGGGGTGCCAATATCCGGTAAGTCATACACGTAATATATATATAATATCTTAACCCTTTAAAAAATTATTATAATATCATGACATCGATCACATGGTGTGTAATCACTATACACTGTATCAAACGAAACCGAACGAAATGCGAATAATCGAAAGTGATGCGAGTAGTATATTGTTCTTTACTCGACCATTTAACACGACATAATTACAGAGATGTCTCTAGAGTCTGGAGCAGAGGGTTTAGGTTAAAACTATGGACAACTTCCCGGAATCTGGGGTCGGTTTCGTGACTCGTGATTCCGGTTCCGGTTTCGATCTCTTTCCACACGACGCGGCATAGATGTGCATAACGGGTAGTCAGAGGTCGCAGAAATAATAAAGCGCGCTCGTCACACATTGTTGTTGTTGTTGATGTTATTATTATTATTATGTGAGAGCAGCCGTTCGTTATGATATTTGACCACGCATCATAAAATTTAACGACTGCGAAGTCGTGTTTTTCAAAAGAACAAAAAAAGGTACCTATTCGAGACCTAATGACGTAGTAAATACGTCCATACGCATATACATAGACGCGTGTAATATAATATAATATTATATCGTTAGTTTATTGGTATAATACTCGCGTAAATCTAGTCCTCGAACACCGTTCGCAACGTTACCGCGTGTTACAGCACTTGCTCGCATTTATTATAATAATATATTCCGCACGGCGTGTATATACCACGATATTCACATAATATATATATATATGTATATATGTATGAACCCACGTGTAATGTTATCCGTCGTAATATCGCAATAACGTACAACAGCTGAGTTTGGGTTGAACGCATCGATTCGGGAACGTACAACACAAAAACGTATAATTTGGCGATAATATGGTAATTTCGTCTCAAACATTTGGCGAGGGCGAACGCAGCATATACTAATATTATAACGTATGGTCATTGTAACGTCCACTTGCTATCTACCCTGTACTCACGTCATTGGAAATACGTTTTTAATGTGGTTTCCCCGAAAACGAGTACTGGGAGAGGACGGTTTCTGGGCTTCGAAAAATCGTTTTCCGCTTGTTTTTTTGCGATATTATCATTTTATTATTATTATCTAACAGCTATTTTGTTTTTCATGTCCAGGTTACATCAACATCGGCTACGGCTCCAAGACGGGTTACTACTTCAGCTCGGCGTGCGTGTTGCTCGGCAGCCTGACCATGTTCTTCATCGACCTGCACCGGAGGAATGTGGCCCGGCACAAGCACAACGAGTCGGGCACGAAGAAGCTGTGCGTGTCGGACTCGTGTCCGCAGCGCCGGAGGCTGTCGTTCACCGTCGAACCCGAGGAAGTGGTGGTGATGGAACCGCCCCTGAACATGCAAGGCGTCGGGCTCGTCGGTGGCGCCGGCGGTTTGGGGTTGATGATGGGCGGGGGCGGAAGCGGCGGAAGTGGCGGCAGCGGAGGCGGGGGTGGTGGACCCAACGACAAGCCCGAGCTGACTTGCATCTCCGAGGAGGGCATCGCCGACATGGATCTGCCAGACAACCTGCTCGACGATCTCGACTACATCGGCGACTGCATCACGTCGTGCAACAAGGTGGAGAACTACCTGATGCTGAGCGAGTTCGAGAACAACCTGATCGCCGAGATGCCGGTCATCATGGACCGGAAGGGCCGCAGGTGGTCACTGGCCAAACAGGCGGAAGAGGAGACGCCCAGGGGCGGCAAGTGGCGGCTGGTCGCTGGAAACAACAGCAGGATGATCACTGTCATCGACGAGGCGTCCGTGTAAAACGACAGCTCGTAATAATATTTTATATTCATATTATATTGTATTATTATTATTATTATTTTTTATTATTTTTATTTTTTTTTATTATTATTATTGTTGAAGATGTGTTCATTTTATTTTTTATTTATTTGTTTACTATTATATTATTTTATTTAATTAAATTGTAAAGTGACACATTATACGTTTGGGGGTCGTCGGCGTTACACGAATGTTTGCGGCGATCGTTTTTGTAATCAAAAATAGTATAATAATATACTTTAAGCGGACATGACGTCATACATTAACGGAAAACAGTTGACGTTATTGGATTTTTTTATTGTATAAAATTATTTTTTTATTTATATACGAATACAGTAGCGAGTAGTTGTCTAAATTAAATAACATGTTTGCCCCTTAAATTAAAATTTTTATACTTAATCGATATCTGATATCTATTAGGTATCTACTATGATAATATTATAGACCTGCGTTGACGTCATATTATTATATTTAAATTATACATTATTATTATTTCAACGAATTTGCTTGGTTTCAATTTTATCCTATTACATAAAACGATATTATTTTTAACGATAATATCGTCAAACTGTATAAAATAATTTAATTACATAATATTATTATTATAGTACTATTATGTGTCATTGGCTGAATCTGTGATCTAACTAATTTATTACCTACTGTTATTTGTGAAAAAGTATTTTTGCTTACGGTTATAGTTGAATTCGATACAATTTTTCATAACTACAATAATATTATTATATTATACAATAAGCTTTTCTTTTTTTTTTTTTAAACTACTTAATAATGATAATAACACTACTAAAACGTGACACATAAACGTATTGTATGAATTGTAAAAAAACCACCGCCAACGTCACATGTACCTACGCATTTTGTAATATTTTACATAAAACTATAATAATATGTGAATGCGATTTAGTAGATCACATGATATTATGATGTTTTTCATTACGCATTTTACGGTTTTCGTTCATATTATTTATTATCATTATAATCATTTTTTTCTGCCACAGCTTAACTCTCGAACATTCTGTATTGCCGTGTGACATTAAAATATATATTGTCAATTTAAAACCGTTGATCGAGAAAAAAAATACAACCAACGAGTTCGATACACTTATTATTCGGTGAAAAGTTCAATAGCAAGACGTACAGGTACTGAAGTTAAAACAGAAAAATTAAATATTTTTGAAAATGTGTACCTAATAGTTATTTCGATATTTCATAACCGAAATCGATTTGTTCACGTGGTGGGTATTTTGAGAAAATTATTATGAAAATTTATATGGTTTTAACGACTTCAATACTTCTTTAGGTATATTTCATGCCAATAGTTCAGTCAATTATTGCCGATTGGTCATTACCTAATCAAAAACTTAACTTTATGTGAACGAAAATCAAAATCCAATGATGGAAAAAACCCAAATTTATTTTAATATTATTAAGTGAGTTTATCAATAAAAATAAAACACACGATAGAGGTGTCATTTACTATAATATAACATGTCGTCGCATGTATTATACATATGTATAAAAAACAACGTCGTATGCGATGTACAAAGATATAATAAGCAAAACATACAATAATCACAACACTTGTACTTTTATTAATTATAATAATATGTACTTTTAAAATTAATATTTGTATCTAATTTATTATTATAGTGATATGATATCCACATATAAGACGACAACAATTATAAATGAAATTATTCGTAATATCTAATAAGTACGTCACTACCATCATTAATACCTATAGGTGATTTAATTAACTTATACCTATTCAAATTTTTTTTTATTGTTAATAAATGTAGAAAAAATCGAAACATTTTCATTATATTTGAATTAAAACATAATATTATATCATTATATCAATAACTATTAGGATAATGATGACCTTTTTGCTGAAGAGGACATTGAAAACTCATTTTTGAAATTCGTTCCTTATGTGTAATTTAAATTATTTATTTTGTTATCATATTGCTTACATACAACTTATATAAGTACCTATGTGCAATTTTATTTAGCGAATTATTTATTTTTTGTATAGATAATAATATTTTATAGCAATATTTTTCTTATCGCTAATATAATAACATTTAAATTCAATAATTTTAGAAGTAAATAAAGTTAAGGCAAATATCCCAAGATTAACTTTTACAAACGCAGGAACGAAAATTATTATGGAAATAATTGCATACAGAGTGTATACAACAAATTCTAAATGGTCTCTGGATAGGTGGAAGAGAAATAGTACCTATATTGATAATACATTGTATGTTCGAATCAAAGTGATATATTAAGTTTTTGGACACGGTTAATTCTAGACTGATCTTAGCGATTTAATTTCAAACTAAAAACATTTCGTTTATTAGTCTAACATCGGTAGGTGAGCCTCTATGTACATCATGTCGGTATCGTCTCCTCTAATTTATACTACTCGCATTATTTTGTAGTCAAATGACAATAACTTTTTGGCAAGCACTTAACTCGCCAGCTCCTTGATGATTATTACTTAAGCGTAGTTGTGTATACCTAGTGTGTCGCTATAGTTATTAAGCATTGCATTTTAAATGATTTCAATTAGATAATACGTCGTCATAATGTTATTATTGTTTTAGTATAATCCACTCTATAATATTATTGTAACGTAATGCTGAAAGTGATTTTGTTCTTTATATTATATTTTGTCGTTATATATATATAAAAAAAAAATGAATTGGTCCTGGATAATGTTTTATTACTAATGCCGTGTCATTTTGTCGAGCGAACACTCTGTTTATAATTGTGATTACGTCGGTTTATAATATTGAAGTTGAATAAAATTTGTACTGTAAAATTATTATTTTAAATCGTATATTATGTATTTTGTTATCCCACATGGTGCATAATATTGCTAATGTGTAACTTCTTGTCATAAATATACTTGGCACTCAGACTTGAGACTTGTGGAAGTTGTAGTCTGCTTGAAGCTGCAGAGACTGGAGTCTGGAACCGAACTCAAAAGAACCTGTTCTGGAACCGGGACCGAACAGGATTTTTTTAATTAAATAGTTCCTTTTAGGTTAAAAAAAAAAAATAAAATTATTTATCACAATTTAATGGTATCACTGTTAAGTGTATTTTGTATATATAAACTATGTATGCCGTAATATGAGTTTTCTAATGTTTCTCATACTATTAATTAAACCAGAATTCTGAATAGGTATTTAAAATTACTATTCTTTTCGGTACCTAAATTATCTGGAACCGGTACCGAAATTATTTGGAACAGATACTTTCATTTTTTACTATCAAAAAATCAGAACCGAAGCTCTACAGTTATTTTATTTTGGGTGAACCAGTACCAAAATCGATACCGATAAATCCAAAATGTTCCAGTCTCTGTCATGAAGTGCCTGATATCGACTGATTTTCGATTGGATAAAAACTTGCAACCAAATAATAAAAAAAAAATGAATAAATAAGGCATTGATAATAGAGAGGTTCTAGTCTAAACGCAAGAGTCTCTTATGCGAGAGCTAATAATTACGAATTATGATAAATCGTAAATGTTTTAGGTGCCTACCTCAACAATATACATGAAAGCAAAACCTGAAAAACGAACTGCGTATCTATGTTAACTGTGTCCAAAATTATTTTTATCATAAAAAAAGGTTAGATAAATATTAACCAAATAAACATATTTTGTTTTATTTTTTTTTTGAAGCGGGTTAAGACCTATTTTAGAATAAAATTTATAAAATAGTAATATATAATTGTACAGTGAATAATAATAATGACAATGACATTGATGGTTTGGTGAATTTGTTGTCAAATAAAAAAAGAAATAAAATCTATGTATAAGTGATTTAAATTGCAACTATACATACATATACAAAACACATAAGATCATTATTGTGTAACAATCGTTTACATTATTGCAAATGAATATAAAATATAATAATAATAATAATAATAATAATAAAATGAAAATTATGAAAAATAATTATTTGTCGTTATTTGTCTTAAAAACAATAATAAGCCACAAGCTGGACTGGGCCGTTTTTACATACAGGTAGTCAATTATCATATATAGATACCTCTTTATAAGCAATTTCTAATTAAATTTCCAGATGAGATAAAAAAAAAAATTTGAAAAACACAATCAACGTGCTCACACAATACATAGTTTAATTACAATGGAAAACCTAACGTAACAGATATTCATAATTATTATGAACAGTTCAGCTCCTTCCGGGCTTATATTATGGATTTCATGGTCCAATTGAGTGGCCAGGTTAGAGAGAGAAATATTGCCTCCGTTGTGTTTATTCACTGCTCAATAGTTCTCACGTGAACAATACCAGTAGAAAATAACATTAATATAATTGGTGTTTGGATTTGGCTAATAATTATTGTTGTTGTTACGACTAATACGACTCAACAACACACATCGTAACAAACATGTGCTCGGCATTACGTCTTTAACAGGGTCGTAAAGGTTTTCTACCCCTCGTCTGTCATGAATGCACATGTTGGAGAACCCGGTGATACCCGATTGAGCACGGTCGTTATCGGCCGACCTTTTAGACGACCCGATTGAGCACGATAAAAAAAAATATATTGTGTACAACGTTGTCAGATTTTCACTAGTACCTACGTATGTTGTGTAGATAATACCAATAGGTAATTACTAACATATTAGTCGAAAAAGATTTTGCTATCGATCGATGGGTAGGTATACCCACGGAAGTTGAAAATAACTGGGATAGATAGGAAACCAGAATTTTATCTACAACGATTGCACTAATTTGTGATTAACTGTTATTGTATGTACCTATGCTGTAAATAAGACTTGGTCACAATCAGTCTATGGTTCTGTTGCCTCGTGCTCGTAGTGCGGTAGTGTGCAAATTTTACGATGGAAAAAAATGAAATAAAAATTATTTTATCCGAGAGAGGTAAAAAGTTGGCAAATGTTGGAGCTTATAAAGGCT